CGGCAAGGCCTGGGATACCCATTTGCCACTAATCAAATTCTCGTACAACAACATCTACCACACAAGCATTAAGGTCGCTCTCTTCGAGGATTTATACGGTCGGAAATGCAGATCACCTCTCTGTTGGGCTGAGGTAGGAGACACCCAACTAGCAAAGGGACAGGTACCAAATAGCACACTCACAGGACCCAAGCTCATCAGGGGAACAACTGAGAAAATGGTCCAGATCAAAGCACGGCTCAAGGCATCTCGAGACCGACAGAAGAGCTACACGGACCAAAGGCGAAAGCCTCTGGAATTTCAAGTAGGAGATCACGTGCTGCTAAAAGTCTCTCCCTTGAAAGGGATGATATGATTTGGAAGGCGAGGAAAGTTAAATCCACGATACATCGGACCATTCGAGATCCTTGCCAGGATCGGTCCGGTAGCTTACAAGCTGCAGCTACCGCCGAAGCTTAGCAACATACACCCTGTATTTCACGTATCAAACCTAAAGAAATGCCTATCGGACGAAACCCTCGTTGTTCCACTCGACGAGATTGAGGTGAATGAAAACCTCCTGTTCGTTGTGGAACTGGTTGAAATCATGGATAGAGAAGTGAAACGTACGAAACAAAGTCGTATTCCGATTGTGAAGGTTCGATGGAGTGCCAAACACGGACCTGAATTCACATGGGAACGCGAGGATCAGATGATGCAGAAATACCCCCACCTCTTCTCTAGTTCTTAAGGATTACTTGCGGAAGAATTTCGGGACGAAATTCCCTATAATGGGGGGATGATGTCACAACCAGCAAATTTGGGGTTAAGATTTCTATCTCGTACAAGATAATTTCTTTGTGTAATCTTGCAACCCTACGTTTAGTATAAATCAAACTTCAATACTATTTAAGTTTATACAACCAAGAATTGTGATTCAAATCGAAACCACTTTGTGTAAACCCAAAACTCGACCCAATAAGCCAAAATTCATCATTTTGGGCCTTAGCCCAAGCCCCTATTTGGGCCAAGACTCTCTTATTGGGCCCTAATGGGCCGATAACCTCTCAAGTTGATCCTATTGGGCCTAAAACCTTATTTTTAGCATCAATGGGTCGCAATTCACTATTGGACTTCCTAATGGGCCGAATATTTTTATTTATCATTGTTTTGGGCCGTAAGACCCTTATTGGGCCGTGAACATCCTTCTTAGACCATAATGGGCTAAATACCTCTATTAGGTATTATTTTGGGCCGAAAACCCTCTAATGGGCCTTGTAAGGCCGAAAATCATTATTGGGCCCTCTTTTGGGCCGAAAGCTTTCACATAGAATTTCTTTGGGCCGAAGACTATTCTTTGGGCCGTAATGGGTCAAAAATATCTATTGGGCCCTCTCACTAAACCAAAAATCCTTATTGGGTCAAATCCATTTCTTTTGGGCCTATTATTGGACCAAAACCATTCTTGGGCCCGATCCAAGCCCAAAAACGCATGCAAACCGAAAATGCTAATGGGCCTAAGGGGTTCTCACTTACCCTTTAAAATCGAAAACCTTTCTTTTTCTCCCCTCTCCTTGGGCCGATCGGTTATAAAAAAACAAAAGAAATGAAGTAATTTAAACATAACACATCACTATTACATGGCACATAACCATGCTTATTAACCTACATGCATCTAGGAGAGGAGTGATTAACCAACATATAACAATGATCTTCCCCCCCCCCCCCCTCTCCCCCCTTTAATCGGCCAAACCACCACCATTCCCTCTCCATTTTCACATCAAACTTCCACTCTTATCTCATTACTCTCTCTAGTTCCCCATTGTTCCTCCAAGCATTTTAGAGATCCATCATCATCAAAATTCGAATTCTAAGCTCCTAGGTAAGTTCATGTTGAACTCTTTTGCTTTGTTCCAAGTTTATATTAAAGATCTTTCCCTTACTCTCTCATTTTCGTGAATATGCTCCCTAGAACACCTTTCACTCGAAAATCTTCTCAAGGAAACAAGTTAGGGACGAAAACCTTATCCATCTCCCTCTACAACTCGAAAAAGCCCCCAAGGTGAGCTTCATACCCCTTATTTTCGAGTTTTCTTTCTTTTAGGGGAGGATACAAGTCTAGTCTTGTGTAATATCTTTGTATATTTGCATGTATTTGTGTGTATGTATGTTTATGTGTGATGAAATGTTGATATTTCATGCTTACACTCCAAGAACTCGAGATTTTGCTAAGTCTCAAGTTGTTGGAGCTTAGTTATCTTGATATGGTTTCATTTATCTTAGTGCTTGTCAAACATGGAAACAAGTTACTAGGTGAAAAAAAATTGATTTTCTTGATTTGTGTTAAAGATCAGAAAAATATGTCCAAGAAAATGTAAAAGCAAATTTTTGTCATGAAAACTTGAAAATATGGAAAATATGGAAATTTCACTCTAAATGGGCTATTTTCGACAACAATAGTAAAAATGGGCTATTTTTGACAACTATGGTAAAAATGAGCTATTTTTTACAACAATAGTAAAAATGGGCTATTTTTAAAAATTATGGTAAAATGGGCTATTTTTTACAACAATAGTAAAAATGGGCTATTTTTTACAACAATAGTAAAAATGGGCTATTTTTGACAATTATGGTAAAAATGGGCTATTTTTTACAACAATAGTAAAAATGGACTATTTTTGACAATTATGGTAAAAATGGGCTATTCTGACAACAATAGTAAAAATGGGCTATCTTTAAACACTCCTAGTAAACTGTGTAAATTACGACAGGATGTATTGCGTGTCATAATCTGCAGTCGAAAATATACACTAGTAACTTTATTTATAACGTTAAATAATGGGATTCAATATTTGCGTAAATTTTGTTAAGGCTCTTGTGAGACAATCCTTCACTCGTACCTACCTAGCGTACATCGTAAGTCTTGTAGTTATAACCAGAGTCTCCCGGAGGGAGAGCGGGATATTGTGTATAGATCTATACGGGGTTGACACCCTCACACCTGAGTTGTTCGCTACAGCTAGACAGGCCAGTCTAGGGTGACAATTATCTTTAGAACTGACGCCTGAAGAACGTCACGACAGACGTTTTAGTCACATTAGTATGGTTGTAACGACTCACATACATAATAACAATATTCTTTTAAAATTTACGCATAACATATACTCCACTCATTTTATAAAGTACAAAACTACATATCGTCTATTTTGCAACTAATTTCACCACTCTGGTCTTAGGGTTTTAAGACCACAATTTTTCGTATAACAGAAAATATAGGATTTTCTGGGAACACTCTCTATATAATTTCAAACAAGGTAAACACATATAATACACATGCAATTATACATGATTTTAAACGAGACTCACAAACTATTTTTACAGAAAATATTGGATTTTCTGGAGTTTACAAACTAATACAAAGTTTTCTTACAAATACGCTTATGAACTCACCAACATTCTATATTGACTTTTTTCAAAACGACTTGTATTCTCAGGGACTCAGTAAGCAGGTTTGCAGCTATGGATTTTTGGATAATTGTTGTATTTTTGAAATGCCATACATTGTGTTATTTTTGGATTGTAATTTCATGAACAAATACAAAGTTGTAAACAATGCATGTTGGTATCTGTAATGTATGACGTTTGGATGGCTATGTTTGAATTATGATCAATTGTTATGATATTACAATGTGAAGTCACCCGCCCCCGGACGTTTTCGCCGTCCCGGTTCGGGGGTGTGACAAGTTCAAGAAAAATTAACGAATTAAATAAACATCAAAAAGAAAAATAGAAAAATAAACCTCGATCAGACTAAAGGCAGTGACCATGTTATATAAAGTCTTGATTTTTGTCACGGCCTTATGGTATCCACAGGTAGCCATGGATAATACCTCTACTTATTCTTTGAAACAAACAACGAAAAAAACAATTTTTTTAGGTTAATAATGAACAAACGAATTTTTTGAACACTTAAGAGTAATTTGGAATACCCGTTTGTCCAAAATAACTTTAGAATTGCAATAGCAGGTTTGCAAACTCTGCCATGATTTAAACAGAAACTCCAAATCCTACATTAAAATAAAAAAATGTAGTTAGTCTTAAGGATTAGCCACGGATTAAGATTGGGAGCACTGTCAAGGAGATGACCTTGTGCTAAAAGGGAACATTATGAAGCTTACCTACCATTTATATTGCAGTTTCTTGCTCGGAACTAAGTCAATCGGCGGCATACCAAGGGTGCTCGTAACAAATGGTTGTCGGAGACTCAAGAGAGAAAGGAAAGAGACATAGGAGATGTTGTTTGATGGTGGCTGATGGTGTATAGAGTTTGTCGGCAGAGAAGGCATGGTCGGTGTCAAGTTGCAATGGTAGAGCCAAATTAGGGTTAAGGTTTGTGTGATTTTATGTTACTAATGTGATCCGAATTTGGAAACTATGAAGAGGTTACTGAACCGAGTTACACATTTTTCAAAAGAAAAAGGGTTTGAACTTTTTTTATGATGATGACTTCATCAAATTGATCCAAGGGTGGAAACTATAAAGGAAAGTCACGTCTGATTGTTGAAGATGATGTAATCAGGTTTATCTTTTAATATATATATATATATATATATATATATATATATATATATATATATATATAAGGAAAGTCACGTCTGATTGTTGAAGATGATGTAATCAGGTTTATCTTTTAATATATATATATATATATATATATATATATATATATATATATAGATTATTGCTATTTTTCTATTGAAAACTTTATGCATAATTTTGACACCTCCAAAACTATCTTTTCCCCAACAATTAAAACAAAAAACACAAACAACATTTAAATAACAAAATTAAAATCCAATCTCCAAAAGCAAAACGCCATCAATTTACAAAAAATAAAATGTGTTTCCAAAATTTCTGCTCATACAAAAAGCTTTAAAAAAAAACCCTAAAAAACCAAAATAGATCAACAAATGAAACACTAAGTGTACAAATAACCTCATGGACCCACTCGTCAAATCTTATTATATTTGAAGTTTCAGTCCCTGCAAAACCTTTATTTTTGAATCACAAACATTAAGAAAGTCAGTCAAAGCAGTTCCCTGAGCCGTTACCATCTTCCTCGCCACATCAGCCGCCTTCCACGGCTTAACCGCATGACAAATCCTTTCACCAACCTCCAAATCATCAACCGAAGAAACCAATTTTTCAAGAATCTTAACAACTTTTCCGGGGCCAGGCCCACCATCATCACAATTAATAGACGAAAGTAAAATGTCAATGTCCCCATCAACTGACTTATTGATTTGTTCTTTTAACCATTTAGAAACTTGATCAATCGTGTTATTTAGTGATATGATTGAATTTTTTATTGAGCTTGAGAGTTGGGTGTTTGACTGATCGGAGGTCCCACCACCGCCGCCTTTCTTCTTCTTTTTACCGGACGGAAGAGTTGACCGGACACATGACTGGATGATGAGACCGTGCCACGTAAGCGGCTCCGTTACTAACTGGACAAGAATGGAAAGGTCGGTTCCCGGGAAAGATAACAACGGTTTTGCGGTTTTTATCTTTGAAGAAACGGATTGTTGTAGTAATGAACATAAAAGTTCCCAATTCATCGGAATTGTGATTCCGTTGGAATTCAGATTCCAGGCGTTTAAACACACAGCAAAGTTCATCCAGCCAATCAGATTTGGAGAAAAAACCTCCAAAGGTTTTTGACCAGATGCAACACTGTTAACAAGCACCACTGCATCCTGGAATGGGAGTTGTAGAAATTTTGCATAGGATTCCAGCAAGGATTTGAGCTCTGAGGAAGCTTTGGAATCAAAACCATTATTGTCGGAATTGGAATTGACTTTTACTGATGATGAAGCACATTGTATTGATAGATGGATCATACGTGGAAGTAGTGACCTTTTCTCGATTGTTCTTGTCACCTTTGATTCCGTTTCTTTAACATCATTCCGCTGCAAAAGAGGATCAAGGAATTGGAATTTGAAGTATTTAATGATTCCGAAACAAAGGTAAAGATCGAATATTATATAAAAAATAAAAAGTGAATAATATGTGAACATACATACCAAGGTTTCTCTAGGATAATTTGACATGCTTTCATAAGGTCCTGTAAGGAGAAAATGAAATGATAAAAAAAAAAAAAAAGTAATAAACATGATTAGTGGTTACACATGTGATGTATACCAGAAAAAATAGGCTCACCTGAAAGGTAATTTTTGTCGTAAGATGGGGTCCACCAAGGACGTAATTGTAAATCTTCATTGAAGGTCAATTTCTTGGACTGGATCTCATTTGAAACATCAAGAAAGTCGCTTCCAAAATTCAAGCTTTCAAGTACAGACTAATAAAAAAGGAAGAAAATATTGTCATTTTAACATTGCCACATGAAATATAGATAGACCATGAAAAGTGGGGGTAATTAGGTAAATACCTCTGCTTCTTCGATACTATTTGCATTTCGTTTTAAATTCAGGATTGATCCTTCAATCTTTGCTGTTAAGTACTGACTCGAACGTTGCAATCTCTCTTTAAATTGAACGAATTCAATTACCTATAAAAATTTATAATTAACAACAGTTACGCATAAAAAAAAAAATATAAACGGATATTAATGTAAAAAAATTATACATACTTTTGAGTAATTTCGATGACGATATGCAAGAAAAGTAAGATCTGCAGATTCCTTGAAGTGTTCATCCATGAACCTTGAGTAACCCTTTAGAAGATCACTAGTATCTACCAATAATGGAGATGTCAACATTTGGGGTAAAATATGATGTGAGACAGTTTCCAAAAGGATGTTCTTCACATCCAATGACTTGTACCTAAAAAGGAGAAAATCGTCAATTTAAATGTGTATTGAAACACATATGGTTCTAAATTATATTACCGTTCATATGCTAATGGAAGAGCATTCCAATAAGAGTACAGGTGTAACAACAAAATCTTGTATTGCCAAACATATCTGCCAAAAAAACATGGATATTTAATAAGGGAAAGAAGAACTAGAAGGGCAAAAGTGGAAGAAAAGAAAAGTAGAAGAAACAAGAACCTGCGGACTGTCAACCCAAGCTCCAACACCATAATAGCTTCCAATAAGTAGCCAATATGTTTTGTACGCCAAAATAGCTACAACAAGAAAGCAAGACATTAAAGTTTCAATATAAATAAATAATTAATTAATTATTATATTTCATTAAGCAGTATATTTTATACCTGAACCAGTACATTGCATGTCATACATAGAAACTCTTCACCAAACATACTCTCTTGTACATCCAAGTCCTTTGAAAGAGGAAGATTCTGACAATACATTTCTGTCATTTGTACTGCAAACCCCACAAGATCTGTGTGGAAAAGGGTAGGAATGTAAATTACTAAACTTTATGAAAGATATTAAAAAATTTACAAAAGATTTACCTCCTTCGGGAAGTGGGAACATGTCACCAATCAGTTCTCTTATTTTAAAAAGTGTTATATGTTGTCCAAGAACATTTTTTGATGACGTGGCGGAAGAAGCAATGCCTTTAGCCAACTTTTCTAGTAACTGGTTTTTTTTATCACCGGGTAGAACTTGAAGGAAGACTGCCACGTCAGCTGAGAAGCAAGCTAAATGTCCAAATCTGTTGAAAGAGAAAAGCTTTAGAAAATACTGTTTTGCCCTCAAAGACTATAGTATAACAAGACTTATTATATACCTGGAGAAGAATAGAATAATGTCCTCCATGAGTTTGTCATAACTACCCTTTCCAAATATTATTTTCCTCCTCTCAATTTCAAGATTTGCCAAGTCCGGGTTTCTTATAGAATCACTACCTGCTTCTGCTTTTAGCTTTTCTACAAACTCAGAGGCCCTTGATATACGAGAATCAAACTGCACATAATTTTTGAAAGACATAAACTTCAAGGGCTTAAAGGTAAATAGATGTAAGGAAGGAAGGAAGGACATAGTCATACCACATCATCTGACAGGTGTCGGTGGTTGCAGTCAATCAATGTTGACACGTGAAGTGAAGGGCTATTAGTCCCACCGGGGAAAATACAGTCATCTTCCAGCAAGCAACCAAGATAATGAAGAAAGCATTCCCAATCATCAGGGCTTCAAATAAATAAATAAAAATTAGTGATAAATAATGAGTCACTGAAAGTGGATAGAAGGTGAAGACATACCACAATGTCAAGACTTTTTGGAAAATATCTGCAGCTCCACCATAATCACCTGCCCGAGCAAGAAGCCTCCCCTGTCAACTTGTAAGTTAAAGAGCACAAATATATAAGATATGCAAGCAAACTATGCATTGCAAAGAAAATAACTTATAAGAATTTGGAAAGTATCTGCAGCTCCACCATAAGCAGGATTTTTTGTTAGTGGCTATAAATTCAGTTCCAGAGCTATGTGTAATGTGTGCAAAGATTAGGTGCGATTTTTGGAGTCTTGGATTGTGGAAGAAACTAACATCTCTATGTCAGATTAAGTGATTAACATTCCAAAATCAAGGTAAGAGCTTCTATTCATCTTCTTGCTGTTTAAATGCAATTAGGGTTTGTGAAATTTGGGGGTTTCGGGTCAATGAGTCGGATGATGATGTAACCCAAAATACATGTTAAGATAATGGTTTATTAACCTAAAGAAACTAAGAAAATGCTAAAATCAAGCATTTATTTCCACATATTGAGTATAATTTCGTTTTGAATATCCAAATTAGGAGACTGTAGGTAAATTTGCTTGGGTTGAAGTAATACAGATATTAAACCCACTAGAGAATAATATTTGACTGTTGAATCTTGAGTAGATGATGTTAATAGAAACCATGAACAAACTCCATTTATAGGAAGTAAATGGTCTTGGTGCACTAAACTGCTAGAGATGAGCAATTTAGGGTTGAAATTGGGACTTTACCATAAATATGATAAAGAGAAGTGTGAATGGAATAGAGAAAATCAATTTGTGAAATTAAATACTTGTGACCATTCCACATGTAAATGATCCTTCAAACTTGTTTGTGAGTTTTTTATAATATCAAGGGGTCATGGGATATGGAAGTACATTTTTTGGTAACATTTTGTAAAATTGTGTTGTTTCTAAAAAGAAATTTTTTAGGTGAACTTCATTTGAGATTAGAATGTTACACTTTGCTATAGGACTGAATAGAGAAAAAGAAGTACATTTAAGTTTTTCTAATCGATTATTCAAGTGAAATTCAACTAGCAAAGTCTAAGATCATGGTGTTGCAGAATAAATAAAACCATATAGAAACATAGGCCTCATTTTCTATCATTCTGTTTTATGTCTCTCCTTGTTTATGTTTTCAAAAAAGTGTGAAACCATTTATGTCTACAGATTACCTAAATGAGTTATCACTTACCAGAATAATGTTAATGTCGATTATAAATAGTAAACTTGAATTTGATGTTTTAATTGTTTGTGTGACTAGTTTAGAAATGAAAACATGGGACCAGTTGACCTTAATGTCATTGATGTTTGAAGCCCAATACAATACAGTTCTTATCCTTCTTTAGTTTTAATCTTGCTATTTAAAAACATGTAATATTTTCAAATGCATTTAGATAGTGTAAATTGTTCACTTGAGTTCAATTAACAAATGCAAGTGAAATCAATGGAATAAAAAGGTAGCATAAAATGATAAAGAAGCAGATAGTACCTGTATCCGTAGTTTATCAACTTCAATCATTATAAGTGATCCTAAGTTCCCTGAAAGAACTTCTGTAGCATCCCCATATTTGGCTTGCTGTTCCAATAGAGAAATATATACACTAAGAGCTGCAACCAATACAATTCATTCAGATGATAGAACATTGTGCATGAATAAAATCTGTCCTTTTATATAATTATTAATCAAAAAAGGAATCAAACCGCACCTTCAGGCTCATGCAAGCTATGAGAAGCAATGTGTTTTTTAAGCAAACCTTCTGCTAACTGCAAAAGTTTCTCTCCTCCATTCCCACAAAAAACCTGTAACTGAATGCTACAGACTGCCCACAGCAAGAACCTCTCTTCACCAGCAATTTTATACATTTTAATGGCTATCTACAAAATAAAACAAAAACATGTCACATAAATGTCACAAGAAACAATAAATTTGACAAAATATTTCCGGATATCATCAACCTGTTGCTGCTTCACAAAAGAATATTCACGAACATAGCAATTGAAGAGTCCCATCATCAGTTCCAAATTGTTCGGAAACTTTCCGCATGCATACTCATAACAACTAGTAGCCATGTCCACTGATGATGTAAATAGAATATAAGTTTGTAAGTAGAAAAAGATTATAAGAAATTGCATCAATGGAGGGAGCATATTAGAAATACTAACGATGATCTAGCCGTTGAAAAACAATCTGCAATGTGCTTAGTGTGAGATCATCAATCAAGATCAAATCGTTCTTATATAAAAGCTCTTTAGCATTGATGCAGACAGATAGTGATTCCTCCAATTTACCCATTCTTTCCAGTATGAGAGCCTTAAGTGCCTGCATTGCATTAAAACAAGAAATAGAACAATGAATCACAGTTCTTCTTCGAAAATCAGACCAATGAAGAACACAAATGTATTTGGATGACTATGCTAAGGTATAGAAAATAACACTTCAAAAAGGACATGAGTTTCAGATCTTTTCTCAATTTCTCTTGCAGGACTCCCCTCATTTTCTTGGTTGAATTATAAAAGAAGACTTCTTAAATTTGTGTAGTGGATATCCAAAAAGTTCATCTGAAATTTATATGTATCCAGGGTGGAGTATGGGGCAATTAAACCCTTAAAGATGGCTAGTTTATACACCTAATTCTTAATCGGTTATATAAGACTGCTGCTGCCCTGCCGTATAAGAGCCAATAGAAGAAGAAATTATGATGATTTATCATGGAGAATCCACCAATGGAAAGCAGTGAACTATCATGAAGCTGCATTCATTAAACAGAATGTCTGAACTCGTCGTTCTAATAAGAAAAACAATTCCTAAGTCCTGGCGAGAACAACCAAACTGTTGACGGCTTGAGTGCAAGATCAGTCAATTAAATCAGACCAATTCTTTTCTTACAGAAATACTGTAAGGTATTGACGAACTCGTCCTTATTGAAACCCACACGAAAAGAAGGGAATCAGACAGCAGACTTACGAGAGCGTAGGAAGAGTTGGGATATTTGGAGAGCAAAGTCGTAGATAGCTTGAGTGCATTTTTAAACTGTCGAGAGTCGATTGCGTCCCAAACAGGCCGGACACGCCGTTCCGGTATGCCGCCGGCCATCCCGAATTTCGACGCCATTATAGAGTTCTTAGGGTTTTTGGCAACGGCGAGAAAACGCGACTGTAAAGGGTAGGGAAGGTAGAAGACGTTTTTTTCTTAAACGAGAGATAACGGAGTTGAAAACGGGAATACACACAAACAGGAGTTAGGGTTGTTTGGACGTGTACATCATCACAGGAATCAGAATCCAAATCTATAAGAGTTAAGTTTAACTTGGGTTAGGTTTAGTTTGACAACGAAAAACTAAATTATAACCCGCATTAAATGCGGGGAATGTATAAAAACATACAAACGTCTATAGATATTGTATAATAATTTAAAAAAAAAAAAATTATGACTATTGGTATTATTGAAATGTGTAGAAGATACACTGAAATTGATAAATATCCATAATCGTTGAATGACCTTTTGTATACAATTTTGTTTTTATTAGTTGAACGACCTTCCGCGTCTATGAGTACCTTCAAACATTTTTTACTTGTGACACGGGAAACAGCCACATATAACTGACCATGAGTAAAAACGGGTCTACGCAGGTATAATCTAACATCTGATAATGATTGTCATTGACTTTTGTTAATGGTCATAGCGAAACAAACAACTATGGGAATTGTCTCCGCTGAAAACGGAATGAATTTTTTTTATCAGAGGGGTTAACTTCATGCGAGGTATATAAGTAGTCTAATTGAAAAATCTGCCAGATATGATTCGGGTTTCATTGACGTGTCTTCCAAGCCTTACGATCTGTAATATAGTACCATTGCATAGTCATTTGGTTTGGTCGATATTACGAAGTAACATTACCGGAACACCTTTTTTCAGTATAAGTTTATGGTTGGGAATTCCATAAGTCTTAAAATCATTCAACACATCTGGAGAGTATAACGACTCCTCAAAAGAATCTTGTGCCTCAGTCTCACATAAAGAATCTGAACTCATATATGTTTTTCCTTCATCTTTCATCAATTCTAACATGTAGTCATTGATAGCATCGATTTCTTCATTTGTAGGGACCAAAATAGTTTTATCTTGAAAATACGATGGATCATCAAGATGGTTCTGAAAGGATGAATAAATTGTGGATACAATTAAATGAATATGGTCACCCGTGGAGGGAACGATAACATCTTCTAGAAATTCAACTTCAACTTCACCATCATTAGGGCCACCAATAGTACTTTCACTGATTTTAAGAATCAATTCAGCAAATGATTTTGTCTCTTCGAAATCATTGTTTGGATAGCCGACCTGAAGCCTCATGTTTACATTAAAACGTAAAACTGTACATTCATGTCATAATCTTGATGAATGCAATGATGCCTAGACAATATCTGAACGATTTCCTCTTTGTATTACTGGAAGAATCTGTCGAAAGTCACCTCCAAATACAATGGTCTTGCCTCCAAATGGTTTATTCTTGTCTGATGAAAGGATAACGTTTCTAAGTGTCCTGTCAATTGCTTCGAAACAATGACGGTGCGTCATCGGGGCTTTGTCCCATATGATAAATCTAGCTTTATTCAACAGTTCAGCTACGTCGTTATCTGGTGTAATAGAACAAAATGAATCCTCATTCAAGTTGATTGGTATATGAAATCTTGAATGCGTTGTCCTACCACCAGAGAGCAAGAGGGATGCAATTCCGCTTGAAGCAATGTTGATAACAATTTCACCTTTAGATCTAATAGCAGCAAACAATGTCTTCCAAACAAATGTTTTTCTTGTTCCTCCATAACCATGCAGGAAAAAGACACCACCTTTTTTGTTGTTAACAGCATTGATAATTGTATCATAAACCTTTTTTTGCTCGACATTTAATTTGGAATGCAGTTGTTGATGTTAGACTTCAAGACCGGACGGATCGTAATTAAGCTCGTCTTGAATTAACATATTGCAAGAATCTTGAATATATTTGTGATCAGGTAACGGCATATTAGGTATTTGCTTCAGACTAAGTCCACAACTCAATAAAGATTTCTCAATGTATGACAATGTTAGGTGAAAAATTGCTTTCGGTTTTAGCTTCAAGACTGAAAAGACAAAAGATTATGAAATTATTTATTTTTAATATCAATTAATTTAGAATGTTTTTTGTGTAAATGGGTTACATTATTTGAAAATGTACCTCTTACGCCGATTTCTTGTTCACGAATATGAACGACATCATCAGAAAGACAATTATAGGTCTCTTTAAAAACATGATGAGGTCGGGATAGACTATCCGATGTAATCAACATAACAAATAGAGACCCGCAGAATGAAACAGTGGCCCAATGATGTGTTTCGTATATAGAAGATATGTACTCTCTATCATCGTCTAATAGACCAAGAGCATAGCAAGCATCTTTGTAAGATTCATAAACGGTCTCGTTAACTGTCCTGATATTTCCATAGCAAGTAGGACCCTTTACTTTGTTGAGCAAAATGCGGAAGTAATAAACATCACCAGACTTGGGTGACACATGATTAATTATACCAAGTGACTTTGTCTTTGTTTTTCTTCTTGTCCATACTTTATTTGATTTATTCCAAACATATTGACTTGGAAATTCAACATATGATAACTTTCGTGCGCTTTTCATCATAGTTGTTACATTCCATCCAAGGTTGTAAAAATCGTTCGGCGGTCGACTGGCGATAAGCGATTAATCAGACTCGGCGGCGATTAATCGGGGACCCTAAATTATTAATAAAGTTATTTAAAAAATTAATATTTCCTAAAGAATTAAGTATTTTGAAATTTTAAAATTTAAAATTTTGAAAATTTAAAAATTTTAGTATAATATTTTAAATTTGAAAGCTTAAAAATTTTAAATTTTAAATTTTTGGTGTAATGTTTGATTTTATTTTTTTTTATTTTTTTGATTTTTTTTAAATATTTTCCGCCTATGACCGCCAAGGCCGCCAAGCACCGCCAAGTCCGAGTTTGACCGATTTTGACCAATTTCCGCCAAGCACCTTAACCGTAATCGATTCGAGACCATCAAGCGATTAATCGGCCGCCAATGTCGATTTCTGCAACCCTGATTCCATCCAAGCCAAAAATTGAGAAACAACAATAGTGGGTTTAGAAACAACATTAGTAACACGTTGGGATGGTTTTAAACACAATAAGTTGTTTGTCTTCAAGGTGAAACGACAACTGTGACATCCTCAATTTCACGGCCAGAAAAGACCGATTTGTTTATGCTTTATTTGAAAATCAAAGTATTCATTTTAAAGAATAATATTGCGGAATTTGCTCCCATAAAAAGATGATAAATATATTATCAAATCATTTCCGAAGAAATGTATTTTGTTCATATTAAAGATTTGGGATATCATCGTCAATACAGAAACATAAACAGGGTCGGTCCGTTGATTTTAGGGGCCCTGTGCGAAGGCTACCAAATGGGCCCTTAAATATATGTGCATTTTCTACTTATAACCAAACTTCATTAATTCTACTATAATTATTATAACATAAACAAAAAAAAACGATAAGACAATATATAATTTTATATAGCTAAATGAATCGCGAAACTCACCTCACATTAATTGAAGCAAAATTGTTCACCCATTTCCAGCCTTTGTTAGTTCTTCAACTCTTGTTCCCTTTCTACGTTTTTTTACTACGAGATATATGTAGGAGACATAATTTTTAAAAATAAAATAACAATAATCACTCAAATATTCGATTAAATTAAAATTATAAAAATAAAATTTTATGATTCAATTGAATAAATCAAAAATCAGAATACAAGAAAGAACAATGCGAACAATAATGTAAACTTATAATTATAAAATAAAATACAAAAAATTTGAATTGTAAATAAAATGATTAAATAATAAAAATAAACTGGGTATTAGACTAGTATGATAATTGGGCCTTAATGGTATTTATTTAATGAATGGTACTTGTGTGATGTGTGGCTTCAATTTGAGGACTATAAAGAATACTCCCATTGATAACGCCTGGTTTCGATCATGGGACGCAAGGATTGAGTGAAAAGCGCTTTAACCATCCCGCCTATATACTGTTATTATTCGCATCCTCAAAATATTTTATATATCAAGATAATACAATATATTTTAAAAAAAATGGGCCCCTAAACAACACGGGCCCTATGCGGTCGCACACCCGGCACATGCTTAGGGTCGGCCCTGAACATAAGCATAAACGGACCTTATTTACACTAATGATCTACATCTCCGTTAATCTCTCAGTGTAATGTGGCTTCGTATTGACACCTGTTATACAAATAAACTGAGTGGGTCAGGTTGGGAAACCTAGTGAGTATATAGGGTTTTCAACCCACAATAATATAATTATTATGTTTAATCATCAAACAATTAACCCAATTACCCATCCCCATTATCTTCATTTAATTTTCCCTAAAGATTTATCCTAAGGATCATCTCCTATATCGTATTTACCTTTCATCTCCTTACATCGCATTTCCTTATATGTTTGTTTCTAAGGACTTTTCCTAAGGATCATCGCCTACATCGCATAGACAGTACTAATTCGGGGATTACTCCCTCAATACGTGTCCAGTAAGGGTTAGGGTATCATCGCATGAATACGTAGTTACAACATCTGTTGGAACCTGAAAGTGAACCTCTAGCAATCCCAAACACCCTTGAAGATCCGAAGTCAGTCAAAGTTTCGAAATGAAGTAGTTGGTGTCCGGACTTGAAGCTTTGCTCCGGAATTACTTTTGTATCCGGACTTGAAGATATGCTCCGGATGAGAAGATCAGTTGAAGCCATTCCGGAATGGACTATGTGTCCGGAATGTTTGTCTTTCTGAATCAATGTTTTTGTCTTTGTTCATTTATTGTATTTGTCTTTAGCTTGATTTAACTCGTCATGGGACTTAGTCTCTTTTGTCAAACACAAATATTCAGAGTGTCAGAAGTAACTCTTTTATCCAGTCCTATGTAGGGGTGAGCAAAAACCGAACCAAAAACCAAAAAAACCGCATAAACCGAAACCGAAAAACCGAAACCGAAATGAAAACCGATGGTGCGGTTTTTAGTTTTGCAAAAAACCGAAAATACTCGGTGCGATGCGGTTTCTAGTCTCGTAAAAACCGTAAAAAATCGAACCGCACCGCATATATATATATATATATATATATATATATATATATATATATATATATATATATATAAAAGTGTTGATATTTGTAAGAACCAATAACTTATGACAATTAAAATTTCTAAATATAAATATCTATCTTATCCATCGGAGGATGATTGTACATTTTTAAGCATACATTCAGTAGTAGTTACAATAACAAATAATGTTTATGACATTTTTTAACTTTTAAATATGAAGAGTACTAGTGATAGTATCATTTTTATTAATACATTAATTGATATTATCGATGTACCTATAAAACAAATATTATATTAAAATCGTATTATGTTCAAGCATTAGAAACATGTTGGATGAGTGGTTATGTAATTTGATTTCAAACCAAGAGGTGGTGGTATTGGTTTATCTCCAAAAAAATGATTAGCATTCCTCATCTGAGTCAAAGTAACTCGCCGAGTTACTTGAGTTTTAGTAAAAAGGCAAAACGAAAAAAAAAAATAATAATAACAAAAACCCGCAAAAAAAAACCGAACCACAAAAAACCGCAATAAAAAACCGCAAAAACCGAACCGCATAAAAACCAAACGGTGCGGTTTCTAAATTTCAAAAAACCGAAGTTGCGGTTTTCGGTTCGGTTTTGACCAAAAACCGCACCAAACCGCACCACGCTCACCCCTAGTCCTATGTATGTAATCAGTCAGTACTATGTACCTTGTTCTCTTATTTATAGGAGCTTTCAAAGTTAAATCAAATGACGGATCATTCAAACATATTTAGCAACATTCCAGTTTACTTCACTTATTCTCTCAAACATTCTTCTTGTTCTTCATTTATTATCTTTACCTTGATCATTATCTTCTCTCTTCATTTATGTATTGAATATTATGTTGAATGCATTAACTCAGACTTGACTGGATTTACCAGACTTGACTGGAATACCTCTTAGTAAGCAGACATTGATCTTAAGCATTCATTCAAGGTTTGAGTTTTCAAACCTTGTCCTTGCGCATCTGATCATCCTTGTTCTCACAATTGGTATCAGAGCTTGAGTGGTTGTCCTTTGAATCCATAAAATCATATTATAGTTGATTTGAAATTACCTTGGTATTTCAATCATTTATGTGTTAAGGATAAAAGTTCTTCTATATACCACTTTTTCTCAAAGATATCTTGACTTCAATGGCTGCTTCTAATACTCAACAAATGTATTCAATGCAAATAGCAAATAGCGTGGGTTGCCCTACACATGCCCCACTGCTAGTTGTTGAAGAATATGATCATTGGAAAGTTAGAATGGAAAGATTTTTACTTGGAAAAGAGAAAGGTGAATCTATCTGGAGATCCGTCAAAGAAGGTCCTCATGTTCCAGTTTGATACGTGGTTCGAGATGCTGCTGCAACTCTGTTGCTGCAACTCTCTTGAGACAGGATCAACAACGTCAAGCACCACTCACTGCTGATGACCTCGAAAAGTTGCATGCTGATCAAGTTGTCTTTTCGGAAATGGTGTTTGGTGTTCCACCATCTCTCTTTGAGCATATCAAACTGTGCAAGTTCGCAAAAGAGATTTGGGACACACTTTAGGATTTATTTGAAGGGTCAAAGAACATGAAGGATAAGCGCTTGACTTCGGTTGTCAATGAGTTCGACACTTTCACTACCACACCTGGTGAATCTGTTGCCTCAGCCTCAAACAGATACCGAATCGTTGTCAACAATATGACAGCTCATGGGATAGTCCAAACTCCACTTGAGTGCAATCTCAAGTTCATCAATAGTCTAAGAAAGGGATGGAGAAATGTGAAATCATGTCTTCAGAGCAATGGATCTCTGAAAAAGCTCAAGCTCTATCAACTTTTTGATGAGCTTCAAGGTCATGAGTCAAATGTTGCTCAAACTCTACGTGAACTCACTGGATGTCCTCTTGCCCTAGTCAGTTCCTTTGATCTACAAACCTCAAACCCAATTGTTTCGGACCCTCTTACTGCTGTTGTTCCATACATTCCTCCTGTTCAACCTTCACCTCCTAACATTCCTGCTCTCACCAACTCAAACTTGCAATCCATGGGAGACCTTAATCCTGATGAAATGGACTCCGAACTACGCTTTCAACAAGAGTTTGCCATACTCTCTATGAGATACAACCGTCCTTTAAACAAGCCTCACAACAATCGATTCCAAACTTTTTACCAAAATAACTGCTTTCAAGCTCCTCACCAAAGCAATCATCAACCTTTCAACAAACCTTCCAAAACCCTTATGCTTACAAGCCAAATCTTCCTACTCAGAATCATACTTCAGAACCTCCTCAGCTTCCGAAATCTGAGAAACCAAAGATTATGTGTCACAAGTGCGGACATGCAAATCACTTTGCCAAAGATTGCCTAGCCGAAGTCCCACAAAAATCGAAGATCATGGACTCTGCTTACTATGAACGTCGTGCTCAAGAATTGGCTGAAAGTGAAAAAGGCTTTTGTTACAACCGTGTCAAGGGATGTGGAAGG